AAGCCGTGACCCACATGGGTTGCTCTGAGACTATTCACAATTCACACCATTTACCCTCTCTGACCGTTGACGACTGCATATCCAGTAGTAATTCAGCTTTAGCTTCTGTTCTGCTGGTTATTTTGAAAATAACATCCTAGAATCTCCGTTTTGTAAAACTATCGCATTTGCACAGAAACTATTACAGATGAAGCGGCAGAACTAATGAACACACCTGTTGAGGAGACGCGTTTTGAAAACAAGACTACTGCCTTGCTGGTTTTCTCCAATCAGTAGCCGTCACCTGGCAGCAGAGCTGTGAGGGTCAGCGTGTGAGGAAAATGGCCAGCTCGACAATCTCCATGAAAGCTGCGCCTTCCAGCGAATGGCTTCACGAGTTTGCGGATGACTTGGTTGAAAGCGAACTAATGGGGGAGGACTCAGAAAGTATCCAACAACGGCGCAGCCCAGCAGCACTGTCACACGTGGGGATAGCCAGCACAGGGTCCTTCAACTGTCAGAGGAGAGCGAACAAGTCGACTGCTTTGGCCCAACTCTGACTGGCAGAATCTCCGTATAAGCAGCTCTTGAGTGTAGAGGGAGACCCTAGTTGACGCTGTATGTTAAGATCCATATATTATGCATCCAAGTGCAAGATAATAGTGCCTTGTGGATATTCATGGGTTATCATGGCCGAGAATAATTATAAAAGACGCATTTGACTCAAAATATATAGAAATTAGGGAAAAGGGGGAGTTCTCTCTCAACACTTTCCATTTTGCGTGTTATATTGGGAGCTGCTAACAATCAATTCCCTTCACCCACCCCGCTGCTTCCCTTCACCCACCCAACTACTTCCCTTCACCCACCCCATCACTTTGTGTCGTCGCGCACCCCACTGTTTCTGCCAACCCTCCATTCAATTTCCCCATCAAACATTTTTCACTTCTTCGGCTGGTGTCCTTCCCTACCCCCCTCCCCCCCTGCTATCGGTGGACAGCTGCATCAATAATGGATCAGAGGGGTGTGAAGTCTGGCTCATCTTGGAGATGCCATGTAGGATTTAAAGACACTCATGTTTGCCTGCCATGTGTACATTCGTTGCACCCAAAAAGAAAAGGGAAACAACCACCCCAAACTTTGATCGTTCTGAAATCCTCAAATGTGCCTTTGAGTCGCAGAATATGATATTTGTGTGGTACTCAGCTTATTTTAAATACAAACTCTTTCGTTATGCAATGTAGAGATGACGGCATACTCATGGGTTTCGAATTTCGCGTTGTCGTGTGTGTTCCCCCCTTCCCTCCCCCCACCCCTTCCCCTTCCCCCTCACTTTCGAGGTTGGCGACGTTCGCATCAGTTGTTTCCTTTTTCTCTTCATCGCAACACAATATACTCTCTCGCTAGCCAATTGGCGACCAGGAAGGAACAAGACAAAAAACAGTTTGTCACTGTTCCTAAGATATCTGCACCGCGGCTTTAACCAATTCTGAACAACTCTAGCCGTCGTTGAATCGCCTTTTCGTAATGTACCCGTAATTGCTCCACGTGAGAACCTTCGATTTAGTTGCTTCATGTTTCTGGCACCACCGCCGCGGCGAGTGTGCTTCGTGCGCCCCACTCTGTAGGGTGTCTGCCCTCTGACGTGCGGCACTTGTTCAGCTGACCCTGTCCCCCGTGGCAGAGTTCAAGGGGCTGCTTTCCCTTTTCTCTGCCCAATTTCTGCACTGACCGCCTAAGAAGTCAGTTTCTGCACTGATTATCCTATCGAGTGCGCTGAACCGCGCCATTGTTTACAATTTCAAGTGGTCAACCTGGCTGCCGTACAGTACGGCTGCACAACTTAGGGGGTGTCCAGCTCGTTCATTTACTGTTCGTAAAGCCCTTCAGTTACCAGATTTTGCGTTGTAACACTGAATTTCACAAAAATGCCAGACACGATCAGCTCCCGTTCACGATACGGCACACCCCCTGCACGTACCTCGAATCGTGTGACGCACGTTACAGAAATCAACGTGCGCATCGAACAATGGTACAGAACCGCGTCCTGCCCACTACAGTGAGTGCCCATCGTATCGCGCGCTCGATTTCGCCAGTGCAGCCTGACACTCGCCAAAACCAGTAGTGGAAGTGTTGGCTTGGCGAAAATTCCAATGCTTTGGTTGACGAGGGAACCGGTTACCTCGTTTCAATAGGCCACTGCACTGTTGAAGTCTGTGTGGGGGGAATGTGTCCGCGCGCTAGAATTGACAAAAAGGGTGGACTCGACGCAGGTCGTATTCGTTTATAGGTACAGTGATCAGTTTTGAACCCCGGATCGTGAGGAGGTACTAAATTTCCCGAAATGAACGAGCTGGACACGCCCTTATACATTGACCAGTTTGGATTTAGCTTGGCAGCTTGCATTTTTCCACAAGTTGTTCGGGGTCGTGATTCTACCGTAAGTACTAGCTCGTAAAACTCTCGAAACTACAGTACATTGTGGCCACCCTTGAAACAACTCTCATCATGAACACCCCGCAACGATCGTCCACACCACACTTGGTTGTCGATCACTTCCAGGTTCCACTCAAGGTACCAAGGTTTCCAAGTTCCCGAACCAACTGACCCACGACTGAAACCTCGAGTGAAATTTAGAGAAAGCCCTGGTTTTTTCACCCACCAACACCTTTCTTTCGCCACTCCACTTTGCTGCGCGCCGTGCCAACCTGGACAACCCACCCGCCACCACTCTTCCTCCCTGCCGCAATCGCTTCTAGGGTTTCGCCGCAATGATCCAGAGCAGTTTCCATCAGAGACACTGCTGAATTACCTAACTCACATCAGCTAGCCACTCGTCACGAGCTTTCGCCCATCGATTGTATAGCGAGAGTTGTAATTATTTAGAGTGTTTTGGAGCAACGCGGCGTCGAGAGCTATGGTGTAGCAATCTGTCCTTTCATGGCGTCAGAGGCGGATCGACTCCGTCTTGAGCTGCGCGCGTCGCGGGTCGAGTGCGCGGAGCTGCGGAGCCGATTAGAGGTAGTTTACATCTTTCCCTTTCCGCTTGATCCGTTCCGTACAATTCGCGATAGTGACAATTCGTCGTGTTGTCTGCCGTGCCATGCGGAGCGCTTCTCTCCTCGCTTCATTCCGCCTTCTGCCGGCGCCGTTCGCTGCCTACCCGTCGCATTCCCAGCTTCACCCCTACCTTTCTCTGTTTTCTCCCGTTGTTTTCCTTGGCTCGCTCTCTTCGCTCGCTTTATGGACAAAAGGCGGGCCCTGCGGGGATAGAGCGCGCGCGGTATGGCGTGGGAGGGGAGCGGGAGGCGGAGCTGGCGCAGCGCGTGGAGGAGCTCACGCGGGAGTTGGAGGCGGAGCGACAAGAGGCGGAGCGCGCGAGGCGGTTCCACGAAGACGAGCTGACGATGCTGTTAGCGTCGAATAAAGACAAAGAAGCCGTCTGGACCAGAAAAGTACAGCCTCCTTCCTTCCCCACCCCACCCACCCCACTCCTCCCCACGCCCCCCGTTCCCCCCCACCCTTTCCCCGTTCTTCCCCCACCCGTTTTCTATCCTTCTCGTCCTCCCCTCCCCCCCGCCCCTCTTGTATTCCTTCGCGCTCCTTTCTCGGCACTCTCACTCATTGCCTCACGCTTATCTTCTCTCTCCCTCCGCTCGTCCCCGCCCTACGTCACGCTCATTGCCTCCGCGCGTCCGCAGGAGATGGAGTTGGAGCAGGAGTTGCGCGAGCTGAGAGAGCAGCTTGGCCACGCTCTCACTCATTGTCTCTCCCCCTCCCGCCCCTCCGCCCCGTGCCCACTCAATTCACCCCCACGTGCGGCGGCGGCGGAGCAGGAGATGGACTTGGAGCAGGAGTTGCGCGAGCTGAGAGAGCAGCTGGGCGACGTCTGAGTCGACACAAAACCTCCTTTCTCATCACTCTCACTCATTGCCTCGCTCTCGTCTTCTCACGCTCATTCCCTCCGCTCGTCCGCAGGAGATGGAGTTGGAGCAGGAGTTGCGCGAGTTGAGAGAGCAGCTGGGCGACGCGCGGCGAGGCCACGCGCTCGGCGGGCAGCTGCAGGCGCTCGAGGACCGCCTGGCGGACGCGCGCGAGGGTGAGGCGCGGGGAGGGGGGAGAAGTGGGGGGGGCCCGCGGGGGAGTGTAAGGGGTGCGGGAGAGGGTGAGGGACAGTTGGGGAGAGGGGGGAGGTGGAGGGGGGAGGAGGAGGAGAGGGGGCCAGCAGGCCGCATATCCCAATAGCAGCAAATTCTCACTCCCATTCTCGCCTCTCATTCTCACTCGCGCTCCCTCACGCCTCCACTCTCACACCCCCGCGATCACCTGTGCGGCATGCGCTTCATTCTGCTCTCTACCGCCGCTCTTCCCTGTACCTCGCTCCGCCCATCCGCGCACCGCCGCCTGGGGCCCCGGGGACCGCACCTCGCGTTCCCCTCCCCGCGCCCCCTTCCGCGCCCTCTCTCCCCCCGTTCCGCGAACCATCTCGTTCGCTCTCCCCCTCCTTCCCCTCCACCCCCTCCCCTCATCCCCGGCAGCGCTCTCCCTGGCGGAAGCCTTCGCGGAGGAGCAGCGCGTGGTGCGCGAGGAGGCGGACGCGCGCGTGCGCGCGCAGGAGGCGGAGGTGGAGCTGCTGCAGGCGCGCATAGAGGATATGGCGGAGCAGGCGGAGGAGGACGAGGAGGAAATGGCGGCGCTCGAGGAGGACCTTGCGCGTGCCATCAAGCGCGTCGAGGAGCTGGGGCTGCGCTCCGCCGCCATGACCATCGAGGTGCGCGGATGGGGGGATGCGCGTGTCGGGGGGTTGCGCGGATGGGGGGATGAGCGTGTCGGGGGGTTGCGCGGATGGGGGGATGAGCGTGTCGGGGGGTTGCGCGGATGGGGGGGTGCGTGGATGGGGGGGTGCGGGACTTCAATTCTGTGGCGCACTTCTCACAACCGCACTCATTCTGCCCCACTCCTCCCCGCATGTCCTCACACCTCCTCCCCCGCAACCCCCCTCGCGCGTTCCCCCCCAACAGATGGAGCAGGTGCAGGAGGAGTTGCGGCGGGAGCGCGAGCTGCTGCGCAGCACGGAGACGGTGGCGGAGGCGGAGTGGCTGCGGCGCGTGGCGGCGGAGCGCGCCAACGCCGCCCTGCAGCGCGACGTGGAGCGCGCGCAGCTAGATGCGGACGAGCTCTGGAGCGCGCTCGAAGCGTTCCGCGCGGAGGGCGCGGGCGTCGCGGAGCAGCTGCGCGTGCAGATGGAGGCGGCGGTGCGCGAGGCGGCGGAGCGCGAGCGCGCGCACGGCGCGGCCATGGCGCGCGTGGACGAGGAGGTGGAGCGCCTGGCGGAAGAGGCGGAGGCGGCGGCGGAGCGCGAGGAGCTGGCGGCGCAGCTGATCGACCGCCTTAAGGACCACAACGCGCTGCTCGCGCGCCAGCTCGCGGCCATGGCGAAGCGCGCGGGCGCGGGGGGTGGCGCGCGCGCGGGGGCGGAGAGCGGGACGGAGGCGGAGGAGGATAACTTCGCGTTTGAGGCGAGCGGGAAGGCGGCGCGCGGGGGGCAGGGCGGGGAGGGGAGCGGGGAGGGGGAGAGCGAGGGGGAGAGTGTGGGGGAGAGCGGGGACGCGGAGAGTGTGAGTCAGTCGTATGAGGAGGGCGAGGCGTCTCCGCTTCTCCAGGCGCAGACGCGCAGGCAGGGCGCGGGACTGAATAATTTTGAAACGGGCAGCATGGCGGGCAGCAGTATAACGGGCAGCAGTATAACGGGCAGTAGCGTCCTGGGTAGCACAATAAGGCAGCGGACAGGGTGGATAGGCCCGGGGGAAGGCGCGGGGAGAATGGGCGCAGATAACCGAGCAGTGGGGGGGAATGAGCGCACAGGTGGCGCGTATGGGCTGGCAGGGGAGGGGGAAAGCCCTAGCGGGTTAGCAGGCACGTCCCCCACACTCTCTTTCACTCCCCCCCCGCAGCACTCTCCCCTGCACCACCAGTATCCATACCAGCAGCAACCGTCGCGCATGGCAGGGGGAGACGAGGAAGACGAGGAGGGAGAGGAGGACGAGCTGGGCGAGGAGGGCGCGGAGGAAGAGGAAGAGGAGGGACTTGCGACAGATTCGGAGTTTTCTTTCTCAGTGCCCGTCCCACGCAGCGGAGCGTGGCGGGCGGCTAAGGAGATCGCGTCTCTCTACTACACAGCGGGAGGTGCGGGAGACGAGGACTTGGAGCGGGAGGAGGAGGAGGCGGAGTTTGCTTTGCTGCAGGAGGAGAACGAGCTGCTGGCAGAGGAGGTAGCGCGGTTGCAGGAGCAGGTGGGGAAGTCGCGGAAGCTCGTGGGGAATTACGAGAAGATGAGGAGAAGGATCATGCAGCTGAGAGTGTGCCTGGAGCTGACGAGAAAGGTGGTGGAGGTGAAGGATAGGGCCATGGAGATGGCCATGGATAGGGCTAGGAGGGCTGAGACGAGGTTGAGGGAGATGGAGGCTCAACTGATGGAGCACCGCCAGGCTGCTGCTGCCTCTGCTGCCTCTGCTGCCGCTGCTGCTACTGCTAGTGTCACTGCCGGTTCTACTGGTGCAGGTGGTGCCAGCACTAGTCAAGCGGGTGCGGCTGGTGTGGGTGGCGTGCAGGAAGCTGTGAGAGGGGGCGAGGAGGAGGGGAAGAGCGACGAGGAGGAGGAATTGAAGGAGGAAGGCGACGAGATTGCAGAGATGAAGGGGAGGAAGCAGCGGGGGAGCATGAAGGGGAGAGGGAGAGGGGAGAGAGGCGAGTCGTGTGCATCCTCCACCACCGATCGCTCCGACAGCCATCTGCTGCTCTCTGGCGCCACTCCTATAGCTAGCAGCGGTGCCCTGCAGGTGCGGGCAGCTGTAGGACTGAAAGAACTCCAGGCGAGCCGGGACGCGCTGCGGATCGCCATGAGAGGAGTCAGAGAGAGAGCCGCTCTAGCAGCAGAGGCACAGCAGAGAGTGGCGGGGAGTCAGGGGCGGAGAGGGAAGGTGGGGAGGAAGGCGGAAGCGGGAGCAGTGGGGGAGATGTTGGCAGAGGTGGAGGAGGAGGTGGTTGAGGGGCAGAGTCTTGTGGAGCGGGCTGAGAGGATCGTGGCGAGAATGGCTGCGTTGGAAAGTAAGGGAGCGGGTGTGGGGAAGAAGATGGAGGGGAAGAGGAAGAGACTGGCTGAGCTGGAGGCGAGGCTGGGGCTGGCTCCTAGGAGAGGTGCGGGAGGGGGTCTGTCTTGCCTGCTGCCGTTCCACCGGGGCAGCTGATGCACACGCTGCTGCTGCCGCTGCCGCCGCCGCTGCTAAGTTCTAACACTAACCCACAACAAGTCTCCCCGTTCAAATAACTGTCTGTAGCTGTACCCAAATGAATGGCTATCGTTCCTACGGTGCCCCGTGCGAAGCGGTGGTGCTAATAAAGTCACACCAATGGTGGCATATCTCATGTCTTATTCCCAGCAGGCATTGCCATAGACAGGGAACGGGGCAAAGCTCCGTGCATGTATTTATTTATTTAACCCGCTTTTTGTCAATCGTGTGGAGGGATCAGTGGGCTGTATTGTAAACAATTTTTTTCCACATGGCTGCTATGAGTGACCACCAATCCAGGCGAGAATAGATTCCTTGTGCAGTGCAATCAAAAAATATATTTCCCACAAATCCTGTGTTTTGAGGGATTTTGAGACCCACACGAAATGAAAATAAGGTGTAGTTGAACGAACTTTACCCGAGTCGTCCCTTGCCGAGTATTCCCGCAAGCCAAGCCACAGAATGCTCTGATCAAGCTCACACACCTGCAGGAAATCTCATTTCAAGCCCTTCTACTCATAACTTCTCGCGATACCTCCTCGTACCTCTTAGGCCAGACGTCGTTACAGCCGCACTCATGGCTGCTACTAGACGTTGCGCGCGCCTGCTCGCGTCGTTCTTCCCCGCGCCTTCCCACGCGACATGCCTGCCGCACCGTGCTGCAAATCTATCTTTTGTCAGGCCTACATGTTTAGCGACCGTCGCATCGCTGTCGGAGAGAACGCCGACAGAGTCGCCATCGTGCGCGCCAGCGCTTCTTGGTGCAACCACCGCGCGCACTTCCCGCCATCTCGCGCTCCCTCCTTCCGGCTTGACCCCCGCAGCATCGCGATTCCGCATCGAGTCTTTGGCAGTCGCGGATCTGCTCGGCGCAATCCAAGCGCCTGCGCCCGCCTTCTCCTCCGCCAGTCAGCGCATCGACTCCGCTCCGCCGCAGCATCTGCCGGCTGACCCTGCTAGCGCCACCCCGGCGGAAGGATCGGACGGCGCACGCACCGCTCCGTTGGCGGCTTGCGAAAGCGGCGATGAAGAGGACGATCCGATTTTAGCGCGGCGTGAGGCGGATCTCGCGCCGGACAGAGCGCGGAGCGCGCCCGACGAGGATCCAATACCGTCCGACGCAGATGGCGGTGGGGAAGCGGCGAGCGCCGTGAATGGAGGGCGTAAGCATCGTCCCCCCCCTGAGTCCGTGGGGGAACATGGAGGACCGAGCGGTCCTGAGCCGACGAGATACGGGGACTGGGAGAAGGGTGGCAGATGCAGTGACTTTTAGGCGCTGGGCCAGGCAGGGCTGGGGTGGCTCTTAAAAAGTTTCCTCTCCACTCTTAATTTGGGAAGCTTTTGGACCTTCGGCATGTTTCCTCCTTTTTTTGCGGATTTGAAGTTTTAGCTTGCTCAGGCCGCAAGGTGTTGACAACCTAAGCTGCTGTAAGTTGCTGGTACGTAGGTAGTGGGGTGGGAGCCCCTTTATGGAATCCCTTTTTAGGGAAGTTTGCTTAAATCCTTGTTGGGAAGGAACGCTTGTTGAGGACAGCTTTTGGGGACCCTTGTCAATAGGAAGTCTATTGAAGTCAGACCAAATCACAGTTGCGTGCATATTTCATATGATGCATCACAGGACCAATCACAGCAACCATTGAACGATGCATCACAGGACCAATCATTATTTTATCAGTGAAGCATAAGGTTGGGATTTCCACAAAACATGTATTCTCCGGGTTCAGGTAGCAAGTAATCGCAGGGGGGGGAATATTTTAATGTAGGTAGTGGTACATACGGTAGTAAGCAGTTTGTACAGGAATACACGAGCTAGCTAATGCTTCCCCTGATCACTTACTAACCTCGATTCTCCACTCAACAATAGATTAGTACGCGTCAGGAAACTAACATGTCTGGCGGCGACGCGGCTACATGCACATTGTACACATGCACGCGTGGTAGTTATCTTCTGACGCATCCCTCATAGTTGGCCCCGGCTTCCGAGCTTGATTACCGACCATTTTGACCGTCGTTCCTTGCAAGTACGGTCGATGCGTCTTGAACGTTCAGTCAGGGTCGGAATTCCGGAAAATGAGTCTAAGGCAGTATCAGTGACGATATGTTCAATCTAATGAACACAACGTCGCGTCGCGTCGTGCAGTTTCATTCCGCTCGTGAAAGGTACTCTTTGTTAGCTTGTGGAGCGTGGTGAAGCCACAGGAGCGATCGATGGAGTTGCTTCAGAGGTTCCTGGTACGCCTGCTGCTTTCGCGGTGTGATCATTAGAAGAGATTATCGTCCGTTGCTTCTGGTTGTTCCGATTTCAGTGTCGCTTGCATAGCGTCTTGACGTTAACGGTTTCTGCTTTGAAAATTCCGGCATTTCGCGTCTTGTTCTCATCAATGGGTGAAACACTCGTCACTCATTGCATGGTCACACTCGTTGTCGACACGAAGAGGTCAGATTGCTTCAAGTTAATGGTCTCGGATGAAGTTTCATGAAGTTGAGTGGCGTTGTAACCAAATGCCTAATGACCTTACTAGCCACATGCATTTCCATCACCAGTTCAACTGGTCCAGTTGTGCTCACATGTTAGCTTTTTCATTATGGCTTGTCTCGATACCTCCCCCACCCTCTTTTCCCCTTCCCACCCCTCCCTCCCCCCCCTTCCCCCACCTTCACACGCACAGAACTCTACCATCTCACACCCGCTCCCCTTCCGTTTTCTCGTTTTTTTTCGCCAACAACCCTCCCAACGACTTATTCCACTCAGAGTCACCGAAATCATGCCATTTCTCCATCATCTGCCCTCCCAATGCTGCTTCTTTCACGAAAGGGACGTGAGCGGCACCTGGACCACCTTTTGATGCACGGTCGTTTCGCAGAAGCTGCAGCGCTGTGCCCCTCGGCCCTTGGGAACTCCGAAACCGCATGGCAATGGTGAGACATGGCAGGATAGGCGATGGTGAGAGGTCGATCCCATGGCAGTGAACCATGGGGGTTGGCGTTTATATGTTAACGGCGATCATTTGTTACATTTGCGTGATGGCCAATCTCACGTTACTGTGCCATGACCTGAATTTTACTAACCCACTCGGTTCGCATTGGTTTGCTGTGCCTTTTGGGGATAATGCCTTATTCGTCCCTTCCATGATCCGTCAGGTGGATTGGCAACTTCTCTCGGCTGCAGCAGCTGCACACTCTGCTGCCCTACGTCCCTATTTCCAACCCTAAGCTCAGTCCAGCCATTTACGAGGTATCACACTGTCTCATATATATTTTTCCCTCATCATTATGTCCCTCCGCGTCTTCATGATGAAATGGTGCAGGCTTAATCACGCAACCTCTCCCTTTCTCCCTCCCTCCATCCGTCCCTCGCCCCTCTCCCCGCCCTCCCCTTTTCCAGGGCGTGCTAGTGGAGCTGCTCGTCTTGCCCCACTCCTCCTACCACCACCAGCTGCCCCCCACCATGGGTCGACTTTCAAGCCGCCTCACACGCTCCCTCACTCCCTCTAACCCCCTCCCTTCCTCCCCCCCCCCTTTCTGTTTCAGTCCGTGCTGGTGGAGATGCTAGTCTCCCCGCACTCCTCCTACCATCGCCAGCTGCCCCCCACATTAGCTCGCTGGCCGCCTGCCCTCTACAACCTGGGGGCCGTCATTGCTGCCGCGGAGAAGCGCCTGCTGCAGCATGGCAGCGCCATACAGCTGCAGGTAGGTGGGTGGGTGGGCGCACTCAATGTATCAACCATTGATCCTTTATGTGCTCCCCACTGTGCCTCGCTGGCCGCCTGCTCTCTACAACCTGGGGGCCGTCATTGCTGCTGCGGAGAAGCGCCTGTTGCAGCACGGCAGTGCCATACAGCTGCAGGTGGGTGGGTGGGAGGGTGGGTGGGCGCACTCACTGTATCGCCTCACCAATTGATCCTGTATTTGGGCCCGCTGGCCGCCTGCTCTCTACAACCTGGGGGCCGTCATTGCTGCTGCGGAGAAGCGCCTGTTGCAGCACGGCAGCGCCATACAGCTGCAGGTGGGTGGGGGGGTGGGTGGGTGGGTGGGTGGGTGGGTGGGCGCGCTCGCTGTATCACCAGTTGATCCTATAGTGGGCCCACATTAGCCCGCTGGCCGCCCGCCCTCTACAACCTGGGGGCTGGCATTGCTGGGCCGCAGAGAAACGCCTGTAGCAGCAGGGCACTGCAGTGCAGCTGCAGGTGGGTGGGTGGGTGGGTGGGTGGGTGGGTGGGGGCACTCGCTGTATCACCTGTTGATCCTGTGTGTGTGCGCAACAAAGACTTGATTGGTGCTCTGGACGTCGTCACACCACCATCCTTTGACTCCCTCTCCTTGCACTCCTTCCCGTTCTTCCTTCCTCATCCGTTCCCATCCCCCCATCAGCTCCTAGCGGGCCTGTAGTGCGCAACAGGGACTTCATTGAGGCTCTGCGCCTAGTCACGCTGTCCTTTGACCCCCTCTCATTCCACTCCTCCCCGTTATTCATTTCTCCTCGTGTGCTCCTTCCCCTTTTTCATCAGCTCCTGGCGGGCCTGTATGTGCGCAACAGAGACTTCATCGAGGCTCTTGACGTCTATTTACGCATTCTGGTGGCGCAGCACAGGGCACACCACACTGATTTGAACGCTTCCACCAGGCTAACGGAGTCAAATGGGCTAACGGATTCAAATGGGCACACGGCTAGCCATGCTCAGGCGCCTGCTGCTGCTGACATGGATGGGGATTCTCAAGGGCGCGTGACAAGCCATGCTGACGTGGATGGAGAACAGTTGCATTCACCAGTGAAATCACCTGTTAATGGCAAGATAGCAGGCAAAGACGCGGCAGGCAGAGAGACAGCTCACAAAGAAAGCATCCATACAAGGGCTGACAGTCCATTCTCGGAAGACCACCGCCGATACCCAGCGCAAGAATCCACTGTCTCATCACCTAACGAGTCATTAACAAGTGCAAAATGGCCGGGACCCGATGTTTTTGAGTTTATTCGAGAGCACAGGCTAGTGCGCCACCTCCTCTCTCCCGCCCCCGACCACCACCACCGCCTCCCCTCCCTCTTCCTCATCCACCCGCGCCGTGCCGCTGCCCTCCTCGCCGACCACATCGCTGTCGCGCCGCCCGAAACCGTCGTCCGCCAGCTGCTGGGCGTAGATTCGCCGGCCGAGATCACCGTTGCGCGCCAGCTGTCGCCGCGTGGTTCGGCAGTAGAGCTGGTGGATGGAGCAGTAAATGGGACTGGTGATGGGGAAGGAAGTGAAGTGGTGCTGACCGGGAGAGAGAGGCGGATGGCGCTTCATTGCTACCTGCGTGAGGTGTTTGAGCGAATGCCAGAGGTGGCATCAGCGTTTCATCCCATGCAGGTCTGTCTTACTCTGAGATGCTCATGCTCACTAGGTTTCACTGCTGCCAGCATGAGGCCTTTCAGTGGATGCTGGAGGTTATTTTTCTCGCAAGAAGCTGTTGTCTCTTCAAGTATCATTCCACAAACACGTGTTCGTTGCTCATTTGCTATCTCTTCCTGCTCTTCCCATCCTCCTGCAGGTTGAGCTATATGCAGACTTTGACCGCCGCCTGCTGCTGCCCTTCCTGCAATCATCCGACCACTACCCCCTGCAAGACGTGAGTGACACAGAATGTAATCCTCCTCACTGCGTGAGTGGCACACACTGTCGCTTTTATGCTTCCATGAGTGGCACAGATTGTTATCCCGTGAAAGGCGTGGAGTGAGAGGACAGAGGTTGCCAACCTCTATCAGTCTGACCTCCTGCATGCTTGGTTGCTACCGTCCCTCAGCCACTCTCTTTCAGTCCAATCCTGGATGGGGCTAGTCACAAATGACGTGTTTTTGCTCACTCCCATATCAGCTAACCCTGAACCACCTTATCCGCATCCCCTCCCGCAGGCTCTAAACCTGTGTGTGCAAAGGGGCCTGGTGGAGGAGCAGGTGTTTCTGCTTACACGCATGGGTGATTACAAAGAAGCGCTATCACTCCTGCTGGACCGACTCAAGGATATGAACCGAGTGAGTTGCTCCTGCCTCTCTCCCTCCGCTTGCTTGCCTCCCTCCCCTCCCCAACACACTTGCCTCTGCACACTTCCATGGGTTATTGTAATGAAGCACTATCGCTCTCGCTACTTAAAATGTGTTGCCACTGGCACTACCTCATCCCAGTTTCTCCCCTTCTTCCTCGATCGTCTCCTCACCTTGCGTCTACCAGGCAATAATACTGGCCAGGGAGGTGAAAGAACAGTACGTGTGGAATTTCCTCCTGAAACGATCTGCCACAAACCCGCGCTTGGTATGCCTACACGTCCCAGAACCTGTCCAAGTTGCTAAACCCCGGTTTCCTATCAACGCCATTGGTCCCACCATCGGTTCATCTGTCCCACACAACTCAGTTCCTACCTCTCCTCCACCTGTTCCTGCGTCGTGCTCCATGCAGCCTCGGTCCAATCCAATCTATTCATCTTTGTCACCTCTTCAAGCACACTTGATTCACTTTCTACTCCGTGCTGGTCTCTTCTCCCAGGTGGCAGCACTCATGGAGCAAGCCACAGACATCTTCTCTCCCAATCAGCTGCTTGCTGGAGTCGCGCCAAACACTCACCTAAAAGAGTACGTTGAGCACTTTACTTTGTCTTCAGTCAGGTTAGATGACACTTCTGCTGGCAATGCTGGTTGCGTCAGCAACAGAGGTATCTCTACGGAGCAACAGAGCAGTCCAATTGTGTGCCATCCTCCTATGCCTCTTAATCCACTTCTTCTTTCCCCCTCCCACTTGTGTACTCACAGGTTGCGGCAGCATCTGCTGGCAGTACTGGCAGCGTCAGCAACAGAGGTGTCTCTCCGCCAGGGCTGCATTGCCCTCTTGCAATCCGAGTGCATCGACCTCCTCTGCCTCTTCATCCTCCAATCGCAGTTCGCCGCCCGCTTCTCCTCCACCTCCGCTGCACCACGCCACCTTCCCCTTCTCCCCCTACCATCTTCCACTGCAACAGCAACAAGCACGCTGCTTTCTCCATATACTTCCTCTCAGGCCACCTCTGGGTTGTTTTGTGGTGGAGTGGCTGGGACGTCACTTCTCAGTCTGTATTCCCGCAAGCCGTTTCGAAGGAAGGCGTTTATTGGAGAAACTGCTGGCAGGGGTATCGAAGGTGATGGGAGTGATTTGGTGGGGAGGGCAGGACAGGAGGAGGGCAAGAAGGGGAGTGGGGAGAGGGAGGAGATGGAGAGGAGGCGGAAGGAGAAAGAAGAGGCGAGAGCTGTGGCTCTGGCGTTTCGACAGCTGGAAATGGGGGAAGCTGGTGATCATGGAAGGATAAAGGAGAGAGGAGGCGTGGAGAGAGCTGTGAGAAGGGGAGGAGGAGGGGGGAGATTGAATGGGCTGCAAGGAGCTGTTGGTTCTGACAGTTTTCTTCCCTCCATATCTCAAGTAGAGGACGAGGAAGAGGATGAGGATGAGGATGAGGAGAGAGAGAGTGATGGGGAGGAAGAGGAGGATGAGGTTCTGTGGAGTGAGCAGTGGTCGTCTGCCCCACTCTTCCCTGCATCTGGAGGGCTGAAAATAGCAACAATTGCTGTTGAAGCTGGTGAGGGTTACAGGGGTGATAGCAGAACAGGTAGTAGCCAGGTTGATGGGGGGAAAGGGGGGATGGGGGAGAGAGGTAGAGGAGGACTGCTTAGAGCCTGGAGCGAGGTGTTTGAGGGAGAGAGAGGGGGGATTGTGGGGAGCAAGGACGGGCTGAGACGGGCAGGAAGTGAAGTGCCAAGAGGGAAAGAGGAAGGCATGGGTGAGTTTGATGCGCAGAGAGGGGAAGTTGTGAGGTTGGAGGGAAGGCAAGAGGTGCAGGGTAACAAGTTGAAGAGGAGGGAGGTTGAGAAACAGGAGTTGCTGGGTGGGGGTCCTCCCCGGTGCTGCCTGTGTCTAGATGCACTGCATCTGCACCAGCAGGAAATTGCGTGTTTTTTCTGCATGCATGCATACCATGTGCCATGTTTGGAGGTAGCATTGAAGCTGGGAGGAAGGGAGAGTGATGGTGAAATGGGAGGGGCTAAGGTGGAAGGAAAAAATGCTCGACTGACAGAGAAGCCTATGGACAGCACTGAGAAGGCTGGAACCAGAGGTTCAAATACAGGTTCGGCAGCAGAACCGAAGAGTAGCCCTGGGAGCAGCTTCTTGGATCGAAGGCTGGATAAGCCTAAGGTTTGGCCCGAGCGAGAGGAAACGTCGATAGAGGGAGGGGATGGTGACGAGCAATTGCATTGTGTAGTGTGCCAAAAAGCCAAGAATGTGGCAAAGTCTTGATTCTTCAGCAAGTAGGAATTTATAGTATGTTTGTTTATTATGGTTTGAGTAGTAGTGGGTGGTTCCTCCGATTAGTGTTACATTGGAGGGTGCAGTATTCGGCTTGTGATTGGTTCGCCCACGTCACTTTCATGACTGGCGTTCGCAAATGGCCAAGCGAAACTCGCTATGCGTCACAACTTTCTAACCTCCTTTCGCCAAGCCTCTGAGGAGTGTACCGTCTTTCTGCTAGCGTGGCGGTTTCGCTCAATTTGCTGCGCGAAGAGTTATGTTGTTCACCTGAAACCATTTCCGTGGCTTGGAGGCGGTGTCATTTGCTCGGCTCTGCTTCGCCGCCACCGCTCAGAACCGAGGAATGTATTTGTCTACCAAATCTCGGAGCTTCACAGCAGCTAAACCAACTACTCACCAGCAACCTTTCTTTCCTGGTTCCAACAGGTCTGACCTAGATTTCATCCTGATTCAAGCTGCTTGTTCGCTGGCTGCTGCTGAAACACGAATTGCGGGTGTTCGAGGGACTGATTGAAGAGTTTTGATCGCAATGCCGTTTCGTGGAATGTGTGTAGGCCTCTAGAGGCTTCGAGCTTGTCATCGTGTCGAAATTCAGGTTCAAGCTCAGAAGGAAGCTTTGGCTACTGTGGTGTAGGCTCCGGCGTTTGTTGAGCGTAGCCATGTTTCCAGACACGCCAATGGACCTTTTCAGGTCCGAGGAGATGCAGTTAGTGCAGCTAATCATTCCTGCAGAAGCTGCACATAACACCGTCGCTCATCTTGGGGAGCTCGGTCTACTGCAGTTTAAGGATGTAGGTATCTGCATAACTATTGAATCGAAGCCGTTGCTCGATTGATGGGGTTCCTTTCCCATTATTCGTAGAATTCAACTGTAACATTCGACCTTAATCCTCTCCGAAATTGCCACTATGCAGTTAAATCCGGACAAAAGCCCATTTCAGCGAACCTATGCAAATCAGGTAGAGTACTCTAAGCGCTCTTCGATTGCAGTAGCTCCCGCCATGCTTTGTGTTAAACTCTACTGGACCGCGGGTTTCGCTTCACGTTGTGAACGAGATAAACCATGTAGCACTCTTATCGTCTCTTGATGCGTCAATGCCGGCGTACAGGTTAAGCGATGCGGGGAAATGGCACGAAAGCTTCGTTATTTCAAGGATCAGTCCGTGAAGGCTGGAATTTTACCCAGTAGTCCAGCACCGCTGGACAAGGATTTCGACCTAGACGACCTGGAGGTATTATAAACATGCATATCGGCGTATGACTGCGCAATTATGACACGTCGTTTCAACGATTGACTGACAATGGCTAAGATCGCGGGATTGGCGCTCCATTCCCTCTGTTAGAATTGGTTAATCTGATATCTTGTGATGAACTTCTATGCAGGTCAAATTGGCAGAGCTGGAGGCGGAGTTACTAGAGATAAATGCCAACGCTGAGAAGCTTCTACGAAGCCGGAATGAGCTGAATGAATTGCAGCTCGTCCTTGAAAAGGTAGATATTTGGTTGCACCTGGAACTTATCACTCTGTTCGTTGTATGACTTTCCGCACTGAAGTTGAGGCTGTTAAACCTCCTCATGCTAACCGTGTTTCTTGTTTGGGACAGGTGGATGCTGCTGTCCACCAGAGGGAGTTTGAAGAAGCAAGCTTGGGCCGGGAAATAACGTCTGACACTGCACTGTTATTGGAGCAGGTGGTACATGATACTGGTCACACGAGTTCGCTTGAGCAGTCTCTTCCACAGGTAGCCGATTTCATTCTCGCAGAAGCTCTGATTGCAAGCATGCTTGACTCTGGTTTACTTTGCAGGAAATGGTCTCAGAACCTGGCAAGCAGATGCGCCTTGGATTCGTTACAGGGCTTGTCCCTAAGGTCAAGGCTGCAACATTTGAGAGGATTTTGTTTCGAGCAACTCGTGGAAACATGTACCTTAAGCAGGAGGAGCTTGACGAGCCAGTAGTGGATCCTGCAACAGGAGAAGAAGTATGAGTCTCTTCCATATGCTGAGAGCAGTCTTTCAGGTGCAACTGGCATTAACATGTGGCTTCTGTTTACAGGTGGAGAAGGTGGTCTTCGTTGTGTTCTTTGCTGGTGAGCGAGCTCGGACCAAGATCATGAAAATCTGTGAGGCATTTGGTGCAAATCGTTACCCGTTTCCAGAGGACCCACAGAAACAGAGGCAAATGCATTCTGAGGTGAGCTCAGAAAACCCCCAAACCAGCTTCTGTCTGCCAGTTTTTCCTTTTCATCTACCCGTGGTCCCACTCTCCCCGTAGTCATAGTCTGAATAACCTTTTTGAATGGCAGGTGATTGCACGGTTATCAGAGTTGCAGACCACCATTGATGCAGGCAACAGACACAGAGATAGTTTGCTGAACAACATAAGCTACCAGATCGAAAACTGGGCAAGCCTGGTACGGAACCATAGCAGTGCTCCCTGTTTTTTCCCACCACTATCAAATGTGCATCAATAATCCTGTTTCCCCTTGTTTTGTAAGCTGACACAAAGCGTTAATAATGCATGAGCAGGTTCGGAGGGAAAAGGCTATATACCACATATTGAACCAGCTGTCCATTGACGTCACTCGCAAGTGCCTTTTGGCTGAGGCATGGTGCCCCGTGTATGCGAAGTCAGAGGTATGGCTGATTATGAGCATCGCTAGATGGTTGATCATGATTTGGATTTGAGAGCAGTGAGGAGAACCACATCGCACTAAATAAAAATGTTAATGTCAAACTGGCTTGCATGCCAATTTGCAGATTCAAGATGCTCTTCATCGTGCAGTGACCATGAGCAAGGCAGATGTGGGTACTATCTTTCAGACGATTCGGTCTGGCGAGTCCCCTCCGACATACTTTAAGACCAACAAGTTCACTGGTGCTTTTCAAGGGATCATCGATGCCTACGGGTAAGTATTTATTTTTTCAAATGAGAAGACCCTGACTTGTGAAAATCACTGTTAGGAGCACTGCTTTTTCTTCATGCTTCATCCACTTTTTTCTGTTGTGGCAGCATGGCACGATACCGGGAGGCCAACCCTGGGGTTTTCACCATCATCACCTTTCCGTTCCTCTTTGCTGTCATGTTTGGTGACTGGGGTCATGGCATCCTGATGCTCCTTGCATCCCTTTGGCTTGTCAAGAACGAGAGGAAGTTGGGCTCCCAGGTGATAATTGGAAATGTGTTTTCATGTTCGTCCAAACCTTGTAGACAAGGACATGGACCGTGCTGTTAACGAATTCCTTTACCTGTTAACCGGATTTGTATTTATTGCTGCAGAAACTTGGTGACATTATGGAGATGGTGTATGGAGGCCGCTACCTCATCCTGCTTATGTCTATTTTCTCCATCTACACTGGCTTCATTTACAACGAGTTCTTCGCTGTCGCCTTCGATTTTGCCATATTTGGTGGCTCGGCATACACTTGTCGCACCCCAGACTGCGGGTACAGTCACCCATATTTTCTCTTGGCAATTGTTTCCTGCAGTTCAAACAATTTCTTTATTTTTCTTGACTTGTGCCATGGCACGCCTCCATTTTTATTCATAGTGCCTGACTTACTCTCCACTCCTCTTCATCTTTATCTGTGCCCCTCACAATTCTTGTCCACCCTCCTTCGTTCTCTCCCCTCCATTTTCCTTTCCTCACTTCCCCTTCCAATTCGCTCAGTGATGCAGCCTCTGCTGGTTTGGTGAAGACAGGCAACACGTACCTGTTTGGAGTGGACCCTCGGTGGAAGGGCTCTCGCACAGAGCTGCCCTTCTTGAACTCACTCAAGATGAAGATGAGCATTGTGCTGGGAGTCACTCACATGTTTCTGGGCCTTGCTCTCAGCCTCTGCAACGCCCTCTTCTTTGACCTGCCACTCAACATTTGGTGGGTGCTTCACACACTTTCCGAGTTCATTATGTTTCGAACGAGTCTTTTCCTGCTTCTGTGCATGCTCATTTCCCTTGGTGTGTCTTTATTCCTGTGCCTTCACTCTCATCCATCTTCATGCATCTGTGTCTCCTCACCACTCGTAGGTACGAGTTCATCCCACAGGTCCTATTCTTGGCTTCTTTGTTTGGCTATCTCTCGCTGCTCATCATAGTCAAGTGGGTCACAGCCTCCCAAGCTGATCTTTACCATGTCATGATCTACATGTTCCTTAACCCCACTGAGCCACTGGGAGAGAACGAGCTCTTTTGGGGGCAAGGAACACTTCAGGTCAGTTAACCAATTTCCAGGTCTGGTCAGATTACTTCTCTTGGCATGGCAAGTTGACATTTTACGTTCAGAATATCTTTTACTAATCATTGCTTTCGTTGTTTGCTTTGCAGATCGTTTTGCTGCTTATTGCTCTCATCTCGGTTCCATGGATGCTTTTTCCAAAACCTCTGATTCTACGTGCTGAGCACATAAAGGTGAGTCAGCTGCTAAAGCTGCTGTTCGTCTCTCTCACCTGACCACTTCACCTGCAACACACATTTGTGAAAGCTACAGTCTTTTTTTGCTGCTCCCGTCACTTTGTCCTGACGAAGCAAGTCAATGCCTGGACTTAGCTTTCCTAACTTTCTTGTCTTCCCTTTCCCTCCTTCCCCCTTCATGTCATACTCACCCTGCATCCGTGCCCTGCATACAGAAGCGTCAGGGGCGAGCGTACGCAGCACTGAACTCAGACAATGAACTGTATGAGATGGAGGCGTTGCACCCAGGGGAGGAGGGCCAATTGCACCATCATCAGCATGAGGAGGAGTTTGACTTCGGGGAGGTGATGGTGCACCAGATGATTCACACCATTGAGTTTGTGCTGGGCGCCGTATCCAACACGGCCTCCTACCTGCGTCTCTGGGCTCTCAGGTGTGCTTTCCATTCACCCTTTTGGACATGTTTTATTTTGTTCTGAAGTCATCTCAGACGTTTACATATGTTGGTTGGACTTTGAGGCTCCTTTCACCTGATTCTCCGATCAATGTGTCTTGTTTTTTTGTCACCTTCACCCATGCAAACAGCTTGGCGCATGCCGAGCTTTCGGCTGTCTTCTTTGAGCGAGTGCTGCTTCCAGCATTTGAGTAAGTTGACATTTGTCTGTCCACTTGTCCGAATTACCACTGCTCTTTGCCTCTCTTTCTGCTAGTTTGCTTGGCAAAACACCTCGGTCTCATCTTGATGTTCCTTATCCTTGCAGGTCTGGAAACATCATCTTCATTATCATTGGCTTCTTTGTCTTTGCATCAGCAACCGTTGGTGTGCTTCTACTTATGGAGACTCTCAGTGCCTTCCTCCATGCGCTCCGTCTGCACTGGGTCGAGTTCATGAACAAGTTCTACACTGGAGATGGATACAAGTTCCTACCATTTTCCTTCGATACAATCACCGATGACGAAGAGTAGGGCAGAGACATCTGCACGGCCGCATTGTCGTAATTGCTGTTTCATGAGCTGCCACGAGTTAACCCGTTACTTGCTAGCGTTTAGCTGATGCCGTTCTATGTTAGGTACCTGTAAGATTCTCATTTTAACTGCTATTACTGGCAAACACCATCGTTGCATTTTGCACATTGTGTGAGCAGCTGGTGGGATACTTGGCTGATTTGTTGCAGCTGGTGGCAACACCAGAGAATACTAGGACCCAAGGGCCAGGGGGGAACTGTGGCAGTAACATTGCACTAGTGTAGCTAATACTCCAGATGTGTACGGCCATGGTGTTCTCGAGGCTAACCTTTCAACAACCTACAAGGTCCCTGCAATCTCAATAATTTTGGCGACCACTGCTGCTCTGTCTTCATGGGTTAGAGGGGCCCCTTCCTGCATGATCCTCTTCCGCAGATCACGTGCTGCTGGGTCAAGCGAAGAGCCCACAACCTGTTACCAATGAAAATGACAAGACAGGGTTTGAGAATGGTGAACGGTGTGCTCAGTTGTTGCATACTTGGGCATGAAAACATAGAATCACAAAAGTAAGGCCAACTAGAGTGAGACCATTTCAATCCAATAAATGGTTCCTCAAGGAACAATGCCATACCTCAATATAGTTGTTGACATTGTAGTCACGATCGGGTAAAGTGAGAGGCGCATCGGGGTTGTATGACCAGTGTGTGCCGTTCACGATGTGCTTGTAATAGTATGTGCCAATCTGCAAACCTCAGAACGGATAACAAAAACACAACCAGACAAAGAGATGCACACGAGAAACAGTGTTGAAACGCTTCCACATATCAGCAACCGGCTACTGCCACCATTTATTGGCCACATCCAAACACATGGATGTATTAAATGCAGCACCCAAACAGCTCAAGCTGGAATTTACATGCAAGTGACACCAAAACTGAATTTAAAACGTACCGGCAGCTCTCTTGTGAGTGTCCAGGTGTTGGACGCTGGCTCACGAGTCAATGGCAGGCGCTGGGAGGAAGATGATAGGGGGCCGTAGTGGGGTGGGGGGTTGGAGGGAAGAATGGTGTTGTTGAGAGCTGGAGGAAGGGAAATGAAAGAAGCATGGCGTTGTGAGATAGCGAACGAAATGACCGAATAGATAGGTTCCAGGAGGGAAGGGAATACGGATAACAAACGAGTTACAAGTGCACCATGCCCACCAACGGATCCGCCCACATCACACCAGGTGTACAATCATTCCCCCAGCCACTTACTGAGTGGCAGAAGGCACACGGTAAATACCAGCCAATAGCATGCCAGCATGGCACAAGGTGGACACATATAGCATGACATAACAAAATCATCACTACCCACTCACATGGTACCACATGGCAGAATTTCTCACGTTGCCAAAATCACCACCCACTCACATGGTGCCACGTGGCCAAAATACACCAACCACTCACATGGTGCCACGTGGCCAAAAAGCACCAACCACTCACATGGTGCCAGCCCACGTCCAGGCCCGCCACCTCCACCGTCTCATTGACTCCTCGGTTCCTCCAGTTGATCTCCACTTGCTCCAGGGGGTTGCCAGTCAGCTGAGAAGAGGCAACACAGTCCAAAAGGGAGAGAGAAACATTGTGGGTAAGTTAAAATATATCTCCAACACCACCTGCTTGCCACATCCACCGTCTCATTCGCTCCGGGGTCCCTCCAGTTGATCTCCACTTCCTTTAGGGAACACAGATAGAAAAGGAGAGAAACATTGTGCGCAAGTTAGAACACCACCTGCCACCTCTGGAAGTTTGTTCGATTCCTCCAGATCTCCACTTGCTCAAGGGAAGGGAGTTGCTGGTCATCTGTGGAGTCAACTGTCAACTCAAACACCACCTGCAACCTCTGCCGGTTTGTTCCATTCCTCGCTGTTGCTATGGCGATTGATAAAAAAGGACTTGGTGTGTGACGTTCCCCACCATGCCCCAATATGGTTGGTTGTCGATCGTACGAGGCAGGTAGAAGAAGAAGCCATGTGTTGCTTATAACAGGGTCTGTGTAGCGTTTACAAGGCATGCTGATTAGAATGTGGCGTTTATAAGGCACGTCGGTTAGGATGTGGCGTTTATAAGGCATGTCGGTTAGGATGTGGCGTTTATAAGGCATGTGGGTTAGGATGAATGTAGCATGTGTAGCTCACCAGATCGCATGCAGCCGCTCGAATGGCGAACAGCTTGGGCCCACAGGGACGGACCTTCTGCTCTCAAGGGCACACAGGAAGACAGAACGGACATGACAATAAATACAACTGACACGGATAAACATGGACGGACTTTCTGCTCTCAAAGGCACACAGGAAGACAGAACGGACATGACAGTTAATACGATCGACACGGATAAACATGGATCGGATATGGATAAACATTAATGATCCTGAAAGAGACACACACATCTGGTGAACATTTAGGTGACACGTCTCCTCTCCCCTAACATTGCTCATTTCTCTCTCATCCACTCTTGCTGAATTGCCTCCTCTCTCCACAACCATTCCCGCCCTCCCACACACGTACCTGGAGAATCTCATTTGCTTCTTCCAGTTGAAGGTCGCGCATCCACCACATATAGGCGAGCTGTGAGAGAGAGGGAGAGAGAGGCAGTGGGGGAGGGAGGAGTGGGTGCGATGCAAGAGGTGAGATGGTCAGATCACATACAGGCGAGCTGCGAGCATCCTGCCTGGCTGAGTGGCTTGGAGGTCGCGCATCCACCACATGTAGGCGATCTGTTAGAGAGTTAGTTAGAGTGGGGAGAGCATTGGGGGGGGGAGGAGGGGAGCATTGAGGTGGGGGGAAGCAGAAAGGCGTGGAGACAGGAGGCGTAGGAGGGAAAAGAATGGATGGGGAGAGGAGTGGAGAAGGGAAAAGGAGCACAGAAGGGAGAGAGGAGCCCAAAGGGGGAGTGGAGCAGACAGGGGGGTGAGGCGCAGAGATAGGGATAGGAGTAGAGAGGGAGGAGAGGCAGAAGGTGCGAGGTGAGGTGAGATGGCAATCATAACAACCTGCCCGCCTGGGTTGAGGGATTAAATGCTCGATGGTGTGAGGGATTGACGGTGGCAAGATAGAGACTGCTATGGCTGTGACTAGGCTCGTGCTACAGCAGGGTCTCATCGCTACAGCCGGGACTCACCGCTACAGCCGGGGCCCTGCCAAGGCCGGCAGTGCAGTGCACATACGCCGTGCCACACTCCATCACTGCCTTGTGCAGCGCTGCTACAGCCCTCGGCAGCTGCATGCGCAGGTCAAAGGGGTCAAAGTCCCTGATCTCAGTCCACAAGTGCCGAATGTCGCCACGCTCTGCCGCCCGCTCGATGATCGGGTTGATATCCAGATCGAAGTACCTGTTGGGGAATAGTACGTGTGCAAGCACAGGGTGAACTATCTGTTGTGAATGGCGTGCAGCGACCCAGAATCACTTTTATCTGTTGATGTACTAAATATGACTGATGGAGTGACCCAGAATCACTTTTCAAGTTTCACCAAGAAAGAACCACGCCTTGACAGAATCTGACTTCTACATCGACTGATTATGACCTCTAAGTCGGCTAGACATTTCCTGACTTGGCAATAGACGTCTCATCCAGGGGATCCTCTCAATGCCACTCACTCAAGGTCAGAGTTGCGTTGCAGGCACTGCACTGCCCCCACGCCCTCCACATCGCACAGGTGTTTTGAAGCCACTTTAGAGTTGACTCAAAGACCCAGCACTCACTCAAGGTCAGAGTCGCGCTGCAGGCACTGCACCGCGCCCACGCCCTCCACGTCCCGAAGGTGGTCCAGATCCACTTCGGAGTTGACTCAATGCGACTTCAAAATTGACTCAATATGGCTTCTCAGTTGACCCAGCACTCACTCGAGGTCGGAATCACGCTGCAGGCACTGCACTGCCCCCACGCCCTCCACATCCCGCAGGTGGTCCAGATCCATCGGGGACTGTAACGGGTGGCAGGGATAAAACGGAGTGCAGTAGAGACAGCGAGGCGGCTTCTAAGGGGTACAAATCCCGTGGGGACTGGTGGCAGGGTGGTGTGGATAACTAAAAGCGACTAGGCTGAGAGAGAGTAAGGGGCATGGTTGCTAGGGAGATCCTATAAGGCAGGTCCAGAGCAGAGGGGGGCCGAGGGACGTGTAAAGATAGAGGACGCACATCTAGTGAGGTGGTAGCGAGCGAGGTAGCCAAGAGAGTCAAGTGGAAAGGATTATCAACGTGGCGAGAAAAGACCATGAGATAGCCGAAAGAGGATAGATGCAGGGGAAACCGTGAAACGGAGGGAGAGGACAGACAGACAGTAGGGGGGAAAGGGGGAGAACAAAGGTGGTAGGGGAAAGAGAGGTGAGGTAGTAGACGAGGCGGCAAGCAAGGGCACTTGCCTGCAGGCAGGAACCGACGATGAGATTGGGCAGCACGCGCGCATAGTTCATGCCCAGCTCGTGGCGGTACACCAGCGCTGGGAGGCACAATCAGATCAGATCAGATCGGGGCGTACATGCGCAGAGAGAGAGAGGGGGGAGGAGGAAGTGTGAGGACCAGGCCTGTCGATTCACGGGGATTTGCCCGTTTTCCCTGAGAATTCAGGGTTCGTTTCAACTCAGCTCAGAGATTTTCAGGGCTGGTTTTTTCCTGGCCCGTATTCCTAACGGACGGATTTGGAGCCTTCCCTGGATTTCCCGTGTACCTGCTCTCCCCTCCCCCCCCCCCCCTTCCCCCCCTTCTTCCTGACCTTCGACCGTGTACGTGTCCCACTTCTCTTCCTCCCAGCCCTCTCTACTCTCCCGCACCAGCGTGCTCTGATCGGTAGAGTACGTACCTAGAGTTACTTAGCTTTCTGGTGCATGTGGATCAGTGCAGGAATCCAAATGGCCTGAATTGAAGGGCTAGATTCGACTGCTGTCCGGATGTTTCAGGGCTTGTTTCGGGCCAGCTCAGCTTCGTAAGGGTTGGGCCCAGACCAAGCGACAGCCCTGGTGAGGACCAAGTCATAGTTCATGCGCAGCTCGTGGCTGGTGGACCAGCGCTGGAAGGGGTGTTTGAGCGTGACAGGGCACACGCTCAGGGACGGAGGAGGACAGGGAGGGGTGAGGACGAGGTGCGATAACCACACACACCCACCTGTGTTCCCCATGGCCACCTGCATGGTGGCGGAATACTCCTCCCCTTTCTGCTTCTGAGTCGACTCAAAAACGAACTCAAACACGCACCTGTGTTCCCCATGGCCATCTGCATGGTGGCGGAATACTCCTCGCCCTTCTCCCGCGCGTCCAAATCCGAATGCTCCTCCGCGGGCTGACTCGCCTCCAGCACAGCCCCCACTGCAGCAGCCACAACACCCCCTTCCACAGCTCCCTTCAACGCAGCAGCAGCTCCTTCCGCCAGCCACTGCAGTGGCTGCTGCTGTTGCTGCTGGTTCTCCTGTTTCTTCTCCTCCTCCGCCTGATTCGCCGCATGAGACTTTGCCTCATGCTCATCCCCTTCGCTGTAACCCGAAGAGTCCTCATACAACCTCGACTGAACTTGGACCGTCTCCACCCTCTCCTCCTCCTCCTCCTCTTCCTCCTCCCAATGCTCCTCCTCGTCTTCCTCAAATTCCTCTTCGTCCTCCTCGTCCCACTCACCACCCCCCGTTTCAGTCATGAAACCATTTCTGACCCAGCTGGCCGTGCTGCGCTGACCTGTCGCGTGGCTCGTCAGACGATATTTCAGGTGACTTGTCAGGTGGTTTTTGCAGAATTGCGAGGAATGCAGCCATTGGTGAGACGGGAAGCGGCGTTTGGCAGGCTCAGTTCTGCTGAAAGAAATACAGTTTTGACGCGTTTAGAGTTGCGATAGTAGGATGCACTTTGTAAACGTTCAGAATCAACAATTTGATTAGGTTGACTAAAGTCTAATAGGTGACTACTTGTTAATATCGATCAGCCCTCAGCTATTGGGAAGATGAAACATGTCAAAACGAAGCGTTTCGGAAGGCTTCAATGAGATAATGGTCACAGATCGCCCAGACACATCGAAGGTTTGTCGTGATTCACAAGTTTGACGATTTGAAAGGACTTGTTATCAATGTCCGCATCAACGTACCTCGCGAGGTTCACGGAAGCAGAGATTGCAGAAACGCCTCCTTGCAGACACAACGACATGGTTGGAAATGCTCTTGCTGTGGAACAGGATTGACGAAGAGCAATCCCCGATAGGTTATGCGATGCGTCGGGCTAGATCCTGGTATGAAGCAACTGAACGGAATCAACACCAATTCACAGTCGGCTGTGAGGAGGAAGTATATTCGCCTGATTGGTGATCAGATTCCTAATTTCATGCAATAGTAGATCGGTTGCGGTCTTGCAAGATCCGTTGCGGTTTGATGCAGACTATTCAGAATACAACGGGGTGGGGGGGGGAGCAGAAAAGTGCCTCGGGAATGGTGACCGATTTGATCACTGAAATGAAAGTGCTTTGGGCGAAGCTGTACCTGACGTGTGATCGAGCAACCCGGTGTTCGCTGGTTAGTTGGAAAGAAAGATTGTTACCTCGCCGATGTTCATCCGACGGCAGAGCACGAGATCTCACAGAATTAGTGCCACGTGGACAAATCACTTCCTTGGAAAGGCTTTGAGATAAGCCAACAGTAGCAGCGAAATATCTCAGGATGCCGTACCCCGTAGTATGCAGAATGCTGAAAAATTGCAGGCAGTAACTCTTTTTGGTACCAACTACCTTCAAAAGCATTATGTTGTTTTCTGTAAGGAAAAATCCTTTTCCTTACTTCGCGCCCCTGCTTACCGCGTACATGACCATTCCCGCCACCGGCACCCAACAGTGAAACGTTACCCGCTTGCGACACTCGCCTCGAGCACGACTCCCGCCACTGTTCACGATGCGAACCCAACCTCACGGTTCGATTGATAACCCGCGCTCCGGACCTCCGCCTCGACATTTCTCAACCTCGGCGCTATGTGTCAGAGGTCCACTGGAGATCCCCGATTGATCCTAGGGAAGGGTTACACGCTCGTTGTCCTGGGGGGGTTATGGGCGCACTGACCCGCTACTTAACAAGCCCTTTTATCCCAATGGTCTAGTGGTTGGGATTCTGAGATAGTATCAGAGCGAAGGTCTCGGGTTCGAATCTCAGTGTGTGCACTTCGGGCATCCCAGTGCGGGTGTGTGTCAGATGTCCACTGGAGATCCCCGATTGATCCTAGGGAAGGGTTACATGCTCGTTGTCCTTGGGGGTTATGGGCGCACTGACCCACTACTTAACAAGCACTTTTATCCCAATGGTCTAGTGGTTGGGATTCTGACACTATGCCCGTAGCGCACCCCAATTTCTCGCGTTACCGTTACCACGCTAGCTTCGCTATATATTATTCGATCATGCCTTCGCTCGATGTACTGTTTTGCTTCGATAGTGCAATTCTCGTTCGCTCACTCAATTGCACTCGTAACACTTGGTATTCAGAGCCTACGATCTCTTCTCGGACCGCACCCACACCTTCGCTTCCCCACTATCTCATTTTTTGAAGGGGGTAGACGTCTCTCAGCGTCCAGGCACCACCGCTAGAAGTGCTCTCTCGAAAGCACGCACGGCCACGACCGAGGCTCTCGCTAAGCTTGCCCGACACCCCCGCCATGGCCGAACTCAACCTTGCGACATTGACGCAGGAGCAGCTCGACCGTCTCGTGCGCCAACTCGAAGATTCGGCGCCAAAAATCGCAACTCTCACGGCGGAACGTGACTCCGCCCGCCAGCAATCAACGGTGAATGCACCAGCACCAACACAAGCACCTGCAAATGCACCTGCGCAATCGGGTGAGCCGATTGTCATCTCATCCGGCACACCGTCACATCACGATAGCGTGGGACAGCGCTCAGGCGCAGCCAGTGATGGCGCCGCCCAATCAATGCCCGGCATGGAGAGGAACAGGGCCGCACCAAGCACGAGGGGGGACTCGCGAAGCCCGTCGTCACGTCGAATTTGCAGCGACGATCGGCAACAATGACATCATCGCACCAATGCCGCTCAAACCGCAACGCCCCCCCTGCTTCGATCCTAGCCAACGTGGAGGTCCGACGGTTCAATCGTGGGTCTTCACGATGAACGTCTTCTTCGACGCGAATTACGTCGAGTCGGACGCAGCGAAGATATGATACGCTGCTACGGAGCCCCGTCATGGACTGGTGGCGAGCCATCGTGACGTCGCCACGCGCCTACGAGCCACCGTCGCAAGAGGAAGGGCCCACGGGTCCAGCCGTCACTTGGAGTTTGTTATGCGAAACCGCCCAGCACAGCACGTGGGATGCGTGGTGCGCAGGGCTTCGGGCGCGCTTTGAGCCGATTGCGGCTTCTATTTCGGCGCGTCAGAGACTGCGTACTTGGCGACAACTTGGGTCGGTCCAAGATTACACGAGCGGTTTTCTCGCACTATGCGAGCAAGTCGGCTACATGCACGAGACGGAGCGGGTGGACCGTTACGTCGGAGGGCTGAAGCCAGACATCTCGCACGAAATCATGCTACGCGGGCTATCGAATTTCAACGAGATCCTCGCGCTCGTCGAGAAAATCGACATTTTGCGCCGTCCGAGACCGGGTGTCAGAACATTATAGCTCATGCATATTGTGTAGGCTATAGTGGGGTAGCCCATAAGGGGTACAACCCAGTTAGGGTTATTACTTGTACCCAATTCATTCATAGTTCATTCATTCCTTGTTTCTTCTCATGGTATCGAGCAGGTTCCCCCGTGGGAACTGTTCCTAGGGCCCACCGTTTTTTTTTTTTTTTTTTTTCCTGCCCGGAGCGCACTCAGCCCCTGCCCGAGTCGCGCTCCCCTCTCTCGCGCCGCCCTAGCGGCCCCTTCGCGCCGCCCTCGCGGCCCCTTCGAGCCGCCCTCGCGGCTCTATCCGCCGCCCTTCGCGGCCCCTACTCCGCCGCCCTCGCGGCCCCGATCCGCCGCCCTCGCGGCCCCGATCCGCCGCCCTCGCGGCCCCGCTCCGCCGCCCTCACGGCCCCGATCCGCCGCCCTTCGCGGCCCCGATCCGCCGCCCTCGCGGCCTCTACTCCGCCGCCCTCGCGGCCCCGATTCGCCGCCCTCGCGGCCCCGATCCGCCGCCCTCGCGGCCCCTACTCCGCCGCACTCGCGGCCCCTACTCCGCAGCCCTCGCGGCCCCGATCCGCCGCCCTCGCGGCCCCGATCCGCCGCCCTAGCGGCCTCCGGCCCCTACTCCAACGGCCCCCGCGCCTACTCCTACGAGCAGCCCACCCGCCGAGCCGCCCAGCAACCGAGCAGCCCAGCCGCTGAGCCGCCGAGCCGCCCAGCAACCGAGCCGCCCAGCAGCCGAGCCGCCCTGCCGCCGAGCCGCCCAGCAGCCGAGCCGCCCAGCGGCCGAGCCGCCCAGCCGCCGAGCCGCCCAGCCGCCGAGCCGCCCAGCAGCTGAGCCGCCCAGCAGCCGAGCCGCCGAGCCGCCCAGCAGCCGAGCCGCCCAGCCGTCGAGTCGCCGAGCCGCCCTGCAGCCGAGCCGCCCGAACCGCCCTGTCCGGTAAGAGCAGCGCCTCTCTCACAGCACTGCCCTCACCCTACTGTTTGCACTGCTAGTCTACTGCTGTCATGGCTACCCCTAGTGTCCTCGCTTTTGACACTGAGGGTCGGGCCATTGACTTTGACGTCTGGATAGATGACCTGCAGCTTTTCTTACAGTGCGACAGAGCAGACGGCCTCTCCCTCTTTGACCTCACTTCTGGTGCCTCTCCTGCCCCCGCTGCTGATGCTGACGCCACTGTTCGCTCACAGTGGGCCACGCGCGATGCTGCTGCACGTCTTGCTGTGCGTCGCCACCTACCCACCTCTGAGCGTGCGCACTTTAGCCAGTACAAGAGTGCTCAGACCTTGTACGACGCTGTAGTTGCACGCTACTCCTCCCCTGCCACTGCTGCACTGAGCCGCCTCATGCTACCGTACCTCTTCCCTGACCTTGCTGCCTTTCCCACAGTCGCTGACCTCATTACGCACCTCCGCACTAGTGACACTCGCTACCGCGCTGCGCTTCCTGCTGAGTTCTGCGCCAAGAACCCCCCCCCCCATGTACATCACCCTCTACTACATAGTCACCTGTCTCCCTGACTCTCTTCGCGTAGTCAAGGACCCCTTCCTCTCGGTTTGTCCCACCACTCTCACCGTTGACCTCCTCGAGAAGGCCCTCCTAGCAGCAGAAAAGAGCATAGTCGCTGTAGGAGCCTCTCGTGGTGACCCTCGCACCCCCATCTTTGAGGGGTGTTCCCCCTCCCCTCTTTTGCCCTCTGTTGCCTCTGCTGCTGCGGCCGACCTCGCTGGTTTGGAGTCGGTTGGGGCAGCGTCTACCCCTAGCGGGAGACGCCGCCCTGGCAGGGGCAAGGGGGGCAGGGGCGCTGGAGGAGCTAGCGGGGGCGGTGGAGGCGGCGGTGGAGGAGGTGGAGGAGGTGGGGGTGGCGGTGGGGGTGGTGGCGGGGGTGGAGGTGTAGGTGGCGGCAGTGGAGGCGCAGGCGGCAGCGGCGGTGGCGGAGGGAGCGGAGGTGGCGGCGGTGGAGGAGGAGGCGGCGGAGGAGGTGGAGCTGGTCGGGGTGGCGCTGCGCAGAGGGTCAGCTCCGGTGGTGGTCAGCGCCAGCAGCAGCAGCAGCAGCAGCAGCAGCAGCAGCGCACTCGTGACGTCCCCTCCCCTCAGCAGCTCCGTGAGTGGTACACTGCACGCCAGAGGGGTGGGGGTACTGGTCCGTGCACCTACGTCCTGCGCACCGGCGACCGCGCGGGTGAGCAGTGCGGGGGTGCGCACTCCACCCAGCGCTGCTTTGGCCGCCTGACGGACGCTTGGCGTCACCAGTTCCCTGAGGCCACTGAGATCCCCCGCTGGGGTGAGCTGTCTAGGGCGGGTGTAGCTGTCTTTGACCTTGACTTTGATGCTATTCTGGCTGCCATGTATACTGTGACTATTAGTGAGGAGGGTGACTGTTACCGGTGCTTTCCGCCCGACCCGGGCATTGAGACTGCTGCTCTAGGTCCTGGTGAGGCTGCTGCACTAGGTGCTAGCGAGGCTGCTGCTCTAGGTGCGTCTGCTCCCTCAGGTACTGGTGAGTCTGCTCTCTCAGGTTCTGCGTCGGCTTCGGCCTCCCACAC